AGGGAACTATAGACCAATGACCCTGAAATCGGTGGTGGGCAAGTTGTTGGAGGGGATTCTGACAGACTGGATTTACATACACCTGGAAAGGCAAGGACTGAATAGGAATAGTCAACATGGCTTTATGCGTGGGAAATCATGTCTCACTAACTTGATTTGAGTTTTTTGAAGAAGGAACGAAGAGGATTGATGAAGGCAGGGTGGTGGATGTTGTCTATATGGACTTCAGTAAGGTGTTTGACAAGGTTCCACAGTACAGACTGATTAGCAGGTTTGGATCACATGGAATCCAGGGAGAGCTAGCAATTTGGATATAAAATTGGCATGAAGGTAGGAGACAGCAGGTGATGATGGAGAGTTGTGTTTTGGACTAGAGGCCTATGACCAGCAGTGTGCCACAAAGATGTGTTGGGTCCACTGCTTATTGTCATTTATATAAATGATTTGGATGCGAATATAGGAGGTATGGTTAGTAAGTTTGCAGACGACACCAAAATTAGAGGTGTAGTCGACAGTAAAGAAGGTTACCTCAGAGTACAACGGGATTTTGATCAGGTGGGCTGATGGACTGAGGACTGCTAGATGGTGTTTGATTTAGATAAATGTGAGGTGCTCCATTTTGGAAAGGCAAATCAGGGCAGGACTTATACACTTAATGGTAGACAAACAAAGAGACCTTGGGGTGCAGGTTCATATTTCCTTGAACATGGAGGATGAATAGGCTGGGATTATTTACCCTGGAGCATCAGAGGCCGAGGGATGACTTTATAGAGGTTTTTAAATTAAGAGGGCATGGATAGGATCAACAGCCAAGGGTGGGGAGTCCAAAACTAGAGGGGCAACTTTTTCACTCAGAGGGTGGTGCGGGAAGGAATGAGCTGCCAGAGGAAGTAGTGGAGGCGGGTACAATTACAACATTTAGGACCCTTTTAAATCTTGCTGCTCTCAAATATAGCTCAAATCCTCCAACTTTGGCAACATCCATGTAAATCTTTTCTAAATCCTCTCAAGTTTCACAACATCCTTGCTATAGCAGGGAGACCAGAATTGCATGCAGTATTCCAAAAGTGGCCTAACCAATGTCCTGTACAGCTACAACATGACCTCCCAACTCCTATACTCAATGTCCTGACCAATAAAGGCAAGCATACCAAATGCCTTCTTCACTATCCTGTCTACCTGGGAGCCCACTTTCAAGGAACTATGAATCTGCACTCCAAGGTATCTTTGTTTGACAACACTCCCCAGGACCTTACCATTTGCTCTGCTAAAATGTAGCACCTCACATTCCTCTAGATTAAACTCCATTTGCCACTACATAGCCCATCTGGTCAAGGTCCCATTGTACTCTGAGGCTACCTCCTTTGGTGTCCACGATATCACCAACTTTGGTGTCATCTGGAAATTTACTAAGCATACCTCCTATGTACACATCCAAATCATTTATATAAGTGACAATAAGCAGTGAACCCAGCATCGATCCTTGCAGCACACCGCTGGTCACAGGCCTCCAGTCTGAAAAGCAACCCTGCACCACCACCCTCTGTCTCCTACCTTCAAGCCAATTTTGTATCCAAACGGCTAGTTCTCCCTGTATTCCAATGTGATCTAACCCTGCTAACCAGTCTACCATGAGGAACTTGTTGAATGCCTTACTGAAGTCCATATAGACAACGGCCACTGGTTGTCTTCATCAATCCTCTTCACCACTTCTTCAAGAAATTTAATCAAGTTAGTGAGACATGATTTCCCATGCACAAAGCCATGTTGACTATCCCTAATCAGTTCTTGCCTTTCCAGGTGCATGTAAATCCTGTCTGTCAGAATCCCCTCCAACAACTTGCCCACCACTGATGTCAGGGTCATTGGTCTATAGTTCCCAATTTTTCCTTACCACCTTTCTTAAAACATTAGCCAACGTCCAGTCTTCTGGCACCTCACCTGTGGCTCTCGATGATACAAATATCTCAGCAAGAGCCCAGCAATCACTTCCCTAGCTTCCCACAGAGTTCTAAGGTACACCTGATCAGGTCCTTGGGATTTATCCACCTTTATGCATTTTAAGATGTCCAGCACCTCCTCCTCTGTAATATGGTCATTTTTCAAGATATTACTGTTTATTGTCCCACGTTCTCTAGCTTCCATATCCTTCACCACAGTAAACACTGATTCAAAATACTCATTTAGTATCTCCCCTATCTCCTGCGGTTCCACACATACACGGCCTTGCTGAACTTTAACGGGCCCTATTATCTCCCTAGTTACCTTTTTATCCTTAATATATTTGTAGAATCTCTTTGGATTCTCCTTAACCCTATTTGTCAGATACCTCATGTCCCCTCTTTGCCCTCCTGATTTCCCTCTTAAGTATACGCCTGCTGCCTGTATATTCTTCTGTATACGTATTGCATGCAGTACACTCCCACTACCCTTTTTCTCTTCTAGGGATTCACTCGATCCCTGCTGTCTATACCTGACATGTGCTTCCTTCTTTTTCTTGACCAAAACCTCAATTTCTGTAGTCATCCAGCATTCCCTACACCCACCAGCCTTGCCCTTCACTCTAACAGGAACATATTGTCTCCGGACTCTCATTATCTCAGTTTTGAAGGCCTCCCATTTCCCAACTGTCCCTTTACCTGCAAATATCTGCCCCCAATCAACATTGAAAATTCTTGCCTAATACCATCAAAATTGGCCTTCTTCCAATTTAGAACTCTAACACTTTGATCCGGTCTATCCGTTTCCATCACTATTTTAAAACTAATAGAATTATGGTCACTGGCCCTAAAGTGCTCCCACACTGACACCTCAGTCTCCTGTCCTGTCTTATTTCCCAAGAGTAGGTCACATTTTGCACCTTCTCTAGTAGGTACATTCACATACTGAATCAGAAAATTTCCTTCTACACACTTAACAAATTCCTCTCCCTTTGATCCCTTAAACCTATGGCAGTCCCAGTCTATGTTTAGAAAGTTAAAATCCCATACCATTACCACCCTATTATACTTACAGATAATTTCAATCTTCTTACAAATTTGCTTCTTAATTTCCCGCTGACTATTGCTTGGGGGTGGGGGGGGTGTCTATAGTACAATCCCAATAAGTTGATCATCCCTTTCTTATTTCTCAGTTTCACCCAAATAACTTCACTGGATATATTCCCTGGAATATCCTCCCTAAGTACGGCCATAATGTTATCCATAATTAAAAACACCACACCACCACGTCTCCCTTGCCCCCTTCCTAAAGCATCTATATCTTGGAATATTAAGCTGCCACTCTGTCCATCCCTGAGCTATGTCTCTGTAATAGCTATGATATCCCAGCCCCATGTTCCCAACTATGCCCTGAGTTCATCTGCCTTACCTGTCAGGCCTCTCGCATTGAAATAAATGCTGTTTAATTTGTCTGTCCTACCTGGTTCTCTGCTTTGCTCCTGCCTGCCCTGACTGTTTAACTTGCTTCCTTTCCCACCTGCACCAGCCTCAGACTGATCCCTTTTCTCACTATCTCCCTGGGTCCCCCCACCTTACGAGCTTAAATTCTCCTGAGTAGCTTTAGCAAATCCAACGCCGCCGCCGCCCCCCTCTCCCCGCTCCACCCTCCCCCCACCTCCCCCACCCCACGCCGGCAGTATATCAGTCCACTTCCAATTCAGGCACAACCCATCCTTCTTATACAGGCCACTTCTTCCCGAGAAGAGATTCCAATGATTCAAAAATGTATATCCTTCTCTGATGCACCAGCTCCTCAGCCACACATTCATCTGCTCCATCCTCCTATTCCTACTCTCACTTGCTCATGGCACTAGGAGTAATCCAGATATTACTACTCTCGAGGACCTACTTTTAACCTCCTGCCTATTTTCCTGTATTCTCTCCTCAGAACCTGTCCTTTTCTCTTCCTATGTCATTGGTTCCATTGTGTACACTGACCTCCTGCTGTTCTCTTTCCCCTGTAAGGATATTCTGCACCCTGAACTGATGAGGTTGATCTCTGTGATTAGCCAGGGGCTCCATTAATGATTGTTTTGTGCAATTACCAACAATGCTGAAGAAGCTTGACAACATGGTGGCTCAGTGGTTAGCACTGCTACCTCACAGCAACAGGGACCCGGGTTCGATTCCACCCTCAGGCGACTGTCTGTGTGGAGTTTGCACGTTCTCCCTGTGTCTGTGCAGGTTTCCTCCGGGTGCTCTGGTTTCCTCCCACAGTCCAAAGATGTGCAGGCTAGGTGGATTGGCCATGCTAAATTGCCCATAGCGTTCAGGGATGTGTAGATTAGGTCGGTTTGGGGAATGGGTCTGGGTGGGATGTTCTGAGGGTGGGTGTGGAGTTGTTTGGCTGAAGGGATAAGATGGTTTGTTTGACATGCCATCCAGAGCGGAAACATTGGCCCCCTCTGCTACTGATGCAGAGTGGCAGCAACGTGTACCGTCCACAAGATGCAATGCACAAGTTTCCAAAAGTCTTTCAGCAGCACTTTCCAAATCTGTGGCCTCAACCATCCAGGAGAACAAGAGTAGCAGGTGCACAGGAATCCGCACCCACTGCAAGGTCCCCTCCAAACCACCCGAAATCTAGGAAGGTCCTATTTAACAGCACTGCAGATGTAACTAGACTACACGGACTGCAGTGATTCAAGAAAAGTGGCTTACCACCACCTTCTCAAGGAATGGGTAACAGAGTGACGCTGACATCCCTCGAATGATTCGTTAGAAAAGGATGTTAGATAGCAAATCATATGGAGCTTGGTCTTTTATAATCTAACAATTCCTATCTCCTCATTTACTCAGTGCAACTGTTTGTGATGTCTGTGGTTTGCTCTCATTTCCTGAGCCCTCCTGCAGCACTTCCTCTGTGGTGCTACTACATGATGATCATGAAGACTCCACAAAGTGCCGATGCTGTTTAACCATCCAGAGAGGGCCGGGGTGACATGAACATGGCTTGGCCATTACATTATTGAGTAAAGAGAGCCCGTACCCTCACAGACCCATGACACGGAGGTAAGTTGACTTTATTCTGGTTGTGTCTCATTTCCTCCAATCTTGAGCGGAAAAGAAGTTTCAAAATGGGGAAGTTGAGGAGTGGTTTTGCACTTCGTGTGTGTTTGTGTGCTTTGTTTTGTCATCCAGATCTTGTGGTGGATCCTTGAAGTAATCCACTACCGTGAAACGAGGTGCACCGAGAAATGTAAGTGTTTGCATTGAGCCATCTTCTCGCATTTGTGCAATGATGAGAGTAATACAAATTATTTTTGATTCCCCCCCCATTTCATTTTCCCAGTGTTTAACTGGGCTGGAGGGAGAGAGGGGAACTAGGTCCAAGGCCTCTGCTGTTGCTGTTCTCAAATCAGTCAGTGCTCCAGGGATGAGAGCAGCTCCTCATGACTCCTTCCCATCAGCATTCTCCTCTCCCTCGGTGGATAGAGCTAGGCTCGAATCAAACTCTTGGAATTTTCTGCCGTATGCCATCAAGCGATATCTGTCACCAGCATGGGTTATGGTCATTTTACGGTGAAAATTGGAGGTGTTGATCTAGGATCCTGACAATTCAAGACGGACAATAACAATGGTCTTGCCACATCCCGAAAACGTTTCTCATAAAGCTCCAGTCAGTCACTCTTGGGGGAAATTCCAATCCTTAGCGGATAGTTCCCAAATTCCACTTCTAGCCCACAGAGCCCTTTCACACAACAGAGGAGTTCTTTATGTTCCTCCTGTCTCGAGGACATTGGGTCTTCGTTCCATGTGAGGGCAGCTCTCCCAAGACCTTGAAGCAGTGGTCAGTAGTGTACCGTCTTGGGTGGGGAGTGAACAGAATGTCTGACTTTAAGACCGTGTTGGGTGGGATGGGAAGAATAAGCAATCAGTCCAAGTTTCGGTCAATCATATGAGTCAATCTTAAGGGGCCAGCTGTGGCTCAATTAGTCACATTCACAAGATTGTGGACTCATGTCCTGTTGTAGGGCCTTGGCACATCATCCAGTCTGACGCTGTAATGTGGTTTACAGAAGGAGTGTTGCACTGTTGAAGGAGCTTGAGGTGAGATATTAAACTAAGGTCCATTTGCCCTTTCAGTGGACATGAAAGATCCCAAAGCATTTGTTCAGAGCAGATGAGTTCTCCCTGGAGTTTGGGCTTAAACTGCTGCCGATTAAGATTATCTGGTCATTATCACAATGTTGCTTGTGGAATCTTTCTCTGTGGCCGCTGTTTTACTGACATAACAACAGTGACTATATTTAAAAATAAACTTAATTGACAAAGTTGCCAGTGTACTGGGCCGAGCGGCCTCCTCTGTGAATTGCAGTGGGAAACACAAGAGTTTGTGAAAGGCGCTATATAAATTGAAGTTCTGTTTCCCTCAGTGTGAGAGAGATGGTAATTCAGTACCACGTGGCCCCACGGTCATCCCCTGGGCATCGGAGACCAGTCAGTCCTGCTTACTGACAGAGCCGGGAAGGTGGAGTTTCATTGGAGATTGGAAATCTTCCGATGGTCCTCCAAATAAACATTCAAGCCAAATAAAAACAAAGTGCTGGAAAAATTCAGCAGGTCTGGCAGCACTGGTGAAGGGAGAAACAGAGTTTACATTTTGAGTCCAATATGACTCTTCAGAACTGGATGCCAGAAAGTAATGGAAATGATGGTCTTGGTGAATAAATATTGTTGTTGTTGTAGCTGCTCACGGTTCAACAGGACCACGCACATTCTATGACATTCCTAAATCTCTCACCAGTCTGCAACTCTGGATTAATGGCAGAGATCTGTGTCTATGCGGGGAGAGTGCGCATACATGAAGGAAACAAACTCTGCTATTTGCATTTCTGTTTCTTTTGGTTTGGAAAGTGATACACAGTCAAATGGAGACTTTGTATTACAGCCAGACCAAAGAAAAAGTTGCTAAACTAGTTAGCAAATATGAGTTGGAACGTTTTCTTAAATAGAAGCCTCTAAACTAAAGCAATATTTATGGGAGCAGATACAGGATGGAGGAAAGGGTGGGTGGGAAAGACACTGGAAAATTTTCATACAAATACTTTGTCAAGATAAAAAAGTAAAGGCATATTTGTCTCTTGATGGCACTGACTGTTTAGGTAGTTTGCAGCAGCCCACAGTGCCTATTGAATTTTGACACCATGCAAATCAAACAAAGCACGACCAACCCTTGCAAACAAATCTCCCCTGTGGGAAGGAAAGGCTTACTGATGCTCAATGATCACACTGGAATCTGTCAAAACCCATCTGCATTTGGATTTTACTGCACTTATTCTCCCAGTACTTTACCATTGAGAGGGTGCATTCACCAGAGGGGACAGTTCTCAGGCTTCAGGTGAGAATTGGTGGAATCACCTTTCTATCATTGGGAGATGACTAGGAAGAGGCATCAACCAGACAGGTCAGGAAGAGGTGGGTAATGCAGATGTGATTGATTAGTGAATCTATCCGCATTATAATTGTTAAAATTAAAGTCATTCACGAGACACAGGAACCACTGCTAGGCCAACATTTATTGCCGACCCCTAATAACTATTACAAGGGGGCATAATTTTAAGGTGATTGGACGAAGGTACAGGGGAGATGTCAGAGGTAGGTTCCTCACACAGAGAGTGGTGGGTGTGTGGAATGCACTGCCGGCAGTGGTAGTGGAGTCAGATACTTTAGAGACTTTTAAGCGACTCTTGGATAGGCACATGGAGGATAGTAAAATGTAGGGTATGCAGGGTAGATTGATCTTAGTAGGATAATAGGTCGGGACAACATCGTGGGCCGAAGGGCCTGTACTGTGCTGTCCTGTTCTATGTTCTAATTGCCCGGAGGGCAGTTAATGGTCAACCACATTGAGGATCCAAACACAGGCAAATGGAACTAGTTTCCTTTGGGAAACCTAGTCAGCATGGATGTGTTGGACCGAAGGGTCTGTTTCCATGCTGTGTGAGTCTATGAATCTACATTGCTGTGGGTCTACATTCAAATGAAGACCAGATCAGGATGGAAGAGGGTGTTGGTGAGCCTGATGGATTTTTAACAACACGATCACCTGTCCCAGGCTAGCTTTCTTATTTCAGATTTTTATTGAATTAAAATTTCACCATCTGCCATGGTGAGATTTGAACCGTTTTCCCCAGAACATTTGGATGGAGTTCTGGATTACTAGTCCAGTGACATTACCACTGTCTCCTGGTATTGATTGTAAGATTGAATCATTTCTGGGGGTTTGGGGACAGGAGTGTCTCCTTTTCCCTTTCGATGTAGTCGCAGTTCTGATGAAAGCTCAAACACTCGTTCTGTTTGTCTCTCCACTGTTTCTGCCTGAGTTGATGAGTGTTTGTTGTGGATCAGACTTCCAGGAACAAAGATTAATGACATGCCCACTGGAGTTTAGTTTTAAAAAAGAATTGGATAAACACCTGGCATGACAATGGGATTGAGGATTTTATCAAGAAACATAAATTATCTAAATCTAAGAAATACTAAAATTTCCATATAGGGGATTGTCAATGGTCGGTGTAACAAGTAGCTAATAATTGAATGAACGACATGCATTTATAGAACCTTTTAACATGTCCCAAAGTGATTTACACCCAATGTAGAAAACTTGGCGGCTAATCTTTGCAAAGCAAGTTCTGACAAAACGTAACTTCCTAGTGACCAAGTAATCTAACAAACACTTAACAGAGTGGCAAACTACAAACCTTCGAGTTTAGTAAAGACCATGAATACAGAAACAAAACAAAGATCACATTTTAACATGACTTCAGTAACTCGAGTATTCCGATAAAATGAAACGGTCGAGAGATCCAGTGTGATTTCCTTAGTGAAGGTATCCACTGAGCTCTCCCCACAATATAGGGATCCACTGAGGTCTCCCCACGATAAAGGGATCTAGTCTGAGTCACCAATGTAAGGTAGGAAACCAATATCAGCAAAACACTATGACCAGGATCAGGATGATAATAATATATAAACACGAGCAATTTCTTTGAAATAGTATTGTTGGGTCATTACAGTGATCTGAGGGGAGACTGGGTCTCAGTTTCAAGCCTCATTTGACAGAGGCTTCTCTGCTAATGCAGCAATCCCTCAGCACTGCCTCGCTATGTCATCCTGCATTACAGGCTCAAGGCTCTGGAGTGCCTCTTAACCCATAGCCTTTTCCTTCCAAGGAAAAAGTGCTACTCACCCAACCAAGATCGACACTATATGATGAAAGATAGTCTCTTGGAAATGAACCCAGAATAGGTCAGTGAATTGGAGACAGTACAGACTGCAGATGCTGGAAGCTAAAATCAATAAATGTGGAACTGGAAAAGCACAGAAGGTCAGACAGCATCCGAGGAGCAGGAAAGTCAATGTTTCGGGTCAAAACCCTTTGTCAGTCCAGCTCCTCAGTTGCTGTCTGACCTTCTGTGCTTTTCCAGTTCCACATTCATTTATGCCAGAATAGGTCAGTGTCTTTTGAAGAGGGGAGGACGATGAGTTGGAATAAGAAATTAATGCGTGGGTTGTTATTTTGTTGACAGAGCTATGATATTTGAACTCAGGATCTCACCAGTAACTCAGCTGGTGCTTCAGTGCTGTATCATATCAACACTTTTCTTCACAATGTTTCCTCAGCAGATTACCCCTGGCATGGACCAGCCAAAGAATGACAATGACGAGTATCCCATTGTCATGAGAGAGGAAAACAGGAGGAGAAGGCGCAAGATGCGAGCCAACACAACCAGGACCATGCAGTACTATTCACTGGAGCAGCTGGCCATTGAGTTTGTCCTCCCAACACGCAACAAGTTTAACAACATCCACGAGAAGCTCTCCCTGGAGGTGGCTGGGAATTACACAGTGGAGCAACTGAAAGCCAAGGTTTGGGTCAAAGCCGGTGGGATCAGTGTTTGCCAGGACTTCTACAGGAAGCTCAGCCCTGACCAGTTCAGGTTGATGTACCAGAAGAAGGGCCAGTGGTACGAGATTTATGACCAGCACCAGGTGATCCAAACACTAGACTGCATCAACTACTGGAAAACGCTGCAGCGGAACAACGGCAAGATTCACCTAGTCCAGAAAACAAAAACCTCAAAGGAATCCTTGCAGTTGCAAAATGATTTGAATTACCTGATTGGCTACGATGTCACTGATGTGAGCAATGTACATGATGATGAGCTGGAATTCACCCGGAGGAAGCTGATCACCCCCCAGCTCAATGAGGTAGCCACCAGGGATGCACAGCTCTACTCCATGGATCCTTGGATCATCTCGAAGCCTCTGCCTGAATATCTGCTCAATAAGATCTGTAACAATAACATATTCATCGTTATTCATAGGGGAACGACAAGCCTGACGATAAAGGTTTCCATTGACGAGACACCACAAAGCATTCTGAAGAACTTCTTCAAAAAGATGGCCAACAAGAAAGGTCTACTGGAAATCTCAGAGAACCATAACGAGAAGGACTTTGTCCTTCGGGTCTGTGGCAGGGAGGATTACATCGTTGGTGACAATCCAATCAAGGATTTCCACTGGGTAAGAAACTGCCTGAAGAATGGCGAGGAAATCCACTTTGTCCTGGACCTGCCCCCGGACCCAGCTCTGGATGAAGTGCAGAAGGAAGAGTGGCCCCTTGTGGATGACTGTACTGGGGTCACTGGATCACACCAGCAGTTAACTCTAGAGGGAAGAGATCATGACAAAGTCTTCACCATATCCCTCTGGGACTGTGACAGAAAATTCCGAGTCAAGATTATTGGGATTGATATTCCAGTGCTCCCACGGAACACAGAACTGACTGTCTTTGTTGAAGCGAGTATACTGCATGGGCAACAGGTGCTTGTCCAACAAAGGACTCTTACAAAGGCATTTACAGAGGAAGTGCTATGGAATGTTTGGCTTGAGTTTGATATTAAAGTTAAGGACCTACCCAGAGGGGCACGACTGAATCTTCAGGTTTACTGTGGTAAAGCACCAGTTCAAAGTATGAAGTCTACTTTCCAGTGTCAAGATGATAATGCCTGGGACACCAAGAGCAAAAACCACATGCTGTACTATGTTAACCTGTTGGTGATTGATCATCGATCGCTCCTCCGTCAAGGAGAGTATGTACTCCACATGTGGAAAATTCCTGATAAAGGTGAAGAACAAGGGACAATTGAGGCTGACAAGCTGACATCAGCGACTAACCCTGACAAGGAGAACTCCATGGCTATCTGCATCCTCCTGGACCGATACAATTACCCAATCGCTCTCCCGCGAAGTTGTCAGAGCCAGAACGCTGAGCCGGAGAAGTCAGGCCACGAGATGCACAGTCAGCTCCGCAAGCAGTTCGAAGAGATCATCAGTACTGACCCCCTGAACCCGCTGAGCACTGAGGACAAAGAACTACTGTGGCATTTCAGGCACGAGTGCATGAGGCAGCCTAAGGCCTACCCCAAGTTTCTTAGCTCAGTAAAATGGGGGCAGCAGGAGGTGGTCCTGAAAACTCAGCAGCTTTTAGACAGACAGGAGATGTGGGACAGCAGTCCCTTGGATGTGGGGCTTGCAATGCAGCTTCTGGATTGCCGATTTTCCAATGAGCATGTTCGGGCGCTGGCTGTTCAAAAGCTGGAGACACTGGACAATAGCGAGGTGCTGCGATATCTCTTACAGTTGGTCCAGGTAAAATAACCTTCCTTTATACATGGGGTGCATTGAAAGTGGTAGGTCTGACTGATGAAGAGATTTATATGGCCCTAAACCAATCAGCACTTTGTGACCAGGTATGAGCCGGAGGTAGATGTAGTGGCCATTGGCAGGAGAGAGGTGCACCCAGGGTTCATCCACCTCATTGTTACGCAGTGTACTGTGGTGCATGAGCCTGGAATTGAACTCATTGTTAACACCCACCACATCAACCCATGACCCCATCACAAAGCTGTCATACACAAAGGGAATTCCTGATTAATTTCATACTTAAGAAAAGAGACTCTAGCAAATGGCAGCACCCTGGGGACAGGTCTGGGCAAAGTAAAAGACAATTGAAATGGTTTTGCATATCTCAATTACCAGCAGTTGTTCTACCCATTACATAAGGATAATGTTCCCTTGACTTTCTCCCTCATGTTGGAGACAGACTTCACAATCTACCCAAAGTGGGAATTTAACTGAGACCAGCCGCTCTCAGACTGCCATTGAACATGAATGGTAAGGAATAAAACACAGGGACAAAGGAAGATTTTTGTTATTCTTTTACTGGATGGGGGCATCGTTGGCAACACCAGCATTCACTGCCCATCACTTAGGCCCTTCAGCTGAAAGGTTTGCTCCACTATTTCACAAGGTGCTTGACAGTCAACCATAATGGATTTGGAGTCACATGTGGGCCAGGCCAGCAAAGCATGACAGACTTCCCTCCTTGAAGAACATTAGGAAACCAGATGTTTCCAGCAATGAATGATATTTCATGGTCACCATTACAGAGGCTGGCTTCATAATCCAGGCTTTTATTAATTGAGTTGAAATTCTACCAGCTGCCATATTCCCGAGGTATTTGCCTAGGACTCTGAATTACCAGTCCAGCCACACCTCCGCTGTGCTAATATCTGCCCTTGGGATTGAGAAAACAAAACCAAAATAACACTCTGCATTGTCTGTAGGAATGGCTCTCACCTTCCAATTTCTTAGCATCTCATTAAACCCATTTGCTGTTATACCAACATTTCCATCCAGGCCCTGATACAGGATTCCAATGAAACATTCACTCAGGTACTTCACAGCCTCTAGGACTCAATATTGACTTCACAACTTCAGAGTATAACCTTTACACTCCATTTTTCCCCACCCACCTCTGGCTGCATTTTGTTTTCATCCCATTGGCTTTGCTGTCAGCAGAGTGGACCCATTTTCTGATTTTCACACTTAACACTTGCACCTACTTTCCATCTCTATCTCTCCTTTATCACCTCCAGCACGCCCTTTGTTGTTTGCTTTGGGTACCCAAACAAACTATTATGCTTGCTCCTCCTCTACCTCTGTCAACAGCATAAAAATAATCCAGCTCCTTTGAATTCTGAAAAAGATTCATTGGGCTCAAAATGTTAACACTGCCTCTCTCTACAGATGCCGCCACACTTGCTGACATATTCCAGTGGATTCTGTTTTTATTTCAGACCCTCACTTTTATACACATTCTGATAAACACCAATGCCCTCACTATAACACATACTCTGCTTTAAACCCACGCCCTCAGGGTAGAGTTAAACTCTAATGCTTGTTTGTTTCCTTGATATGCTACTGTACAGAACCGAACTGTATAAGATATTTTCAACGAATAAAATATATTTTGAAATAAAAACTAAGTCCACACCCTCAACGTAATACATCCTTTCTTATATACTACATTTTCTGTATTTGACACTCCCTGATGTACCTGACACCCTCGTTGTAACACACTCTCTCATATATCCCACAACCGTTGATTTTCACATTCCATGATATAGCCCACACCCACACTATAAAACACACTGATATGCCCCAAAACTTCACTATAACAGACACTCTGATATACCCACACCCGGACTACAACATAGTCCCTGATATATCCCACACTCTCACCATAATATACTCTGCATAAAAATCTCACACCCTCACTGTAACATACACTCTGCTATAAACCCACACCCTCCCTATAACATATGTTCAGATATGCCCCACACCCTCACTGTAACACATACACACACTGATGTACCCATCACCCTCAATATAACACACACTGATATACTCCATTACCTCGCTATAATTCTCCGCCCCACCCCCCCCCAACCGATGTACACCACATTTTCAGTATAAAATGCTCCTTGATATACCCCATACCCTCACTATAGCACACTCTCTGGTATAGCCCACACCCTTCCAATAATACACGAGTGTCCTAGGCCCAAGTATCTTCCCTCCATCATAAGGTCAGAAGTGGGGATGTTCATCGATGATTGCACAATGTTCAGCTCCATACGTGACTCCTCAGATACTGAAGCAGTCCGTGTTCAAATGCAACAGGATCTGGACAATATCCAGGCTTGGGCTGACAAGTGGCAAGTAACATTCATGCCACACAAATGCCAGGCTATGACCATCACCAATACGAGACAATCTAACCACTGCCCCTTTGACATTCAATGGCGTTACCATCACTGAATCCCCCACTATCAACATCCTTGAGGTTACTACTGATCAGAAACTCAACTTGACTCACCACATAAACACAGTGGCTACAAAAGCAGCTCAGTGGCTAGGAATACTCTGGTGAGTCACTCGCCTCCTGACTCCCCAAAGCCTGTCCATCATCTACAAGGCACAAGTCAGGAGTGTGATGGAATACTCCCCACTTGCCTGGATGAATACAGCTCCAACAACACTCAAGAAGCTTGATAGCATCCAGGACAAAGCAGACAACTTGATTGGCACCACATCCACAAGCATCCACTCCCTCCAGCACCGACTCTCAGTAGCAGCAGTGTACAAGATGCACTGCAGAAATTCACCAAAGATCCTCAGGCAGCACCTTCCAAACCCATAACCACTTCCATCTACAGTGACGGTGTAAGGCATAATACACTCCCAAATGTACCCCATCCAACACACACTCTGATATACTTCATACCTTACTATTAACATACACCCTGATATACTCCACCCTCACTATAACACTCACTCTAATACACCCCATAACCTCACTATAACACACACTCTAATATACCCCACACCCACACTGCAACACACTCTCTCATATATCTGACAAGATCAGTATTTCACATTCCCTGATATACCCCACACCCAGACTGTAACACACTCCAACATAATCTACCCCGTTACTATATCATACACACATAAATACTCCTACAATGTCACTACAACACACAATCTGATATAGCCCACACCTTCACTAAAATACACTCCCTGATACACCCCGCATACTCACTACAACAGTCTCTCTTACATACCCCACACACTCAGTATTTCACATTCCCTGATAAAGCCCACTCACTCAACCTAACATAATCATAGATCATTGAATCTCCACAGTGTGGAAACAGGCCCTTCGGCCCAACAAGTCCGCACCGACTCTCAAAGCATCCCACCCAGACCCACCCAATCTACACATCCCAGAATACTACGGGCAATTTCCCATGGCCAATCCACCTAGCCTGCACATCTTTGGACTGTGGGAGGAAACTGGAGCACCCGGAGGAAACCCACGCAGACACGGGGAGAATGTACAAATTCCACACAGTCAGCCAAGGGTGGGATCAAACCCAGGTCCCTGGTGCTGTGAGGCAGCAGTGCTAACCACTGAGGCACCATGCCGCCCTAATCAATATATCCTACACCTTCTCTATAACACATTACACCCTCACTATACCACACTCCCTGATAAAAACCACACCTTCACTGTTACACAGTTTCTAATACACCTCACACTTTCACTATAAGACATTCCCTGATATACACCAACACTCTCACTGTAAAATACTCCCTTACGTACACCACACCCTCAATATAACACACTGTCCAATATACCCACAACCTCACTTTAATACACTTGGGTTCATCTAAATCTTTGTTGGCTCAATTTTGTATTACACCAGGCCTTGTTCCTGTGCTCCCTGATCCAGTGTTAATTGGTTCACCACACTTTGATTTAAAATTTCTCATCAAAGTTTAATTCCCACCATGACCTTATGTCTTTCTGGGTCTCTAACCTCTTTCAACCCTATAACACTGCAAAGACCCTAATGCTTTTCCAAACCTGATCTCATGGGTATCAACAGTCTCCTTTTCCTCAACCACTGATGGTTATGTTTTCAGTTTCCATAACCCTAAATCCCTCCCAAGATCTGTTCATTTCTCTACTTTTCATGTTTCCTTTAAGTTGCTCCTTAAACCTAAATCTTTGACCACCTGTCCCAATATGGCCTTATTCAGCTTACAGTCAAATTTTGTGAAACCTGCAACCACTTCCATCTAGAAGGACAATGGCAGCAGATACATGGGAACACCACCCCCTGCAAGTTCCCCTCCAAGCCACTCACCATCTTGACTTGGAAATATATTGCTGTTCTTTCACTGTCACTGGGTCAGATTCCTGGAATTCCCTCCCTAAAGGCATTGTGGGTCAACCTACAGCAGATCAAGAATGCCACTCACCAAAACCTTCTCCAGGGCAATTAGGGATGGGTAATAAGTATTGAGCAAGTGATGCCTGCATCCAAAAAATGCCTATTTATGTTGCAATGTGCTTCAGCACACACTTATCCATGTATTATTTCAAACTGATTTCAGGCAGTCAAGTTCGAGCCTTACCATGACAGTGCCCTAGCCCGATTCCTCCTCAAACGAGCTTTAAGAGTAAGTATATTTGTTGATTGGAAGAACATTTTGATTAATCTGTGCCCAAAAACATGTATGTAGGTTATTTTCATGTTTAAAACCCTGCCAAACTTTTTGACTCCCTGCTAGAGTAAACGAACTGGCCATTTTCTGTTCTGGTTTCTGAGAAGTGAAGTGGCTGAGTCGATGCACTATCGTCAGCGCTACGCTGTCATCCTGGAAGCATATCTCCGGGGTTGTGGGAAAGCCATGCTGATGGATTTCATGAGGCAAGTCAAGGTGATGGAGGCCCTGCACAAAGTCACGCTGGAGATAAAAAATGTCACTGCTGACAAATACGATGTTTCAGCTCAAGGTATGTTTATAAATGACTGGCTGCAAAAGGGTTGGATGGTGCTAGGGGTTGGGGAATGTCACAAAGTCACAGCTATAAGGGGGAATGATTGGAAAACTGCTACTGCAGACCCCTCCATCAATCACACCCCTGGAGGCTGGAATTTGCAAAGTTAAACTGACTTGCATTGACTTGGAGAAAGGTTCCTGATTTTACCGGGAAATATTCTGGTAGTTTTAAGGGATGACTTCTGTTTGTATCGTGTGTACAGGTCCATGTTTAAATTATTTGTAAATGTGTAAACAAACTTTTAAAATTTGATATTTGATCACAGCACCCTACTACCTACTTTGGATCAAATGGTTTTATGGTCTTTCAGTTTCTGGATTAACATTAAGATAAAGGCTCTGAAATGTTCTTGCAGAATCTGCACGAGGTTAAACTCTGGCCTTTCACCTGGATGTAATTCCAGTTTTAATTGCCCATGAGATGTGAATATGGCTGGCAAGGCCAGACTTTAATATCCATCTGTAATTGTCCCTTGAGAAAGTAGTGGTGACCTACATTTTTGAACTACAGCAATCCATTTGATACAGGTATTCGCACAGTGATTAGGGAGGGAATTCCAGGATTTTGACCCAGGGACAGTGAAGGAACGGCGATGTATTTCCAAGTCAGGATGGTGAGTGGCTTGGAGGGGAACTTGCAGGTGGTAGTGTTCCCATGTCCCGCTGTCCTTGTCCCTCCAGATGATCATTGTTGGTGAGTTACTGTGGTGTATCTTGTACATGTTGCTGCCACTGTGCATTGGGGGTGAATAGAGTGAATGCTGAAGGTAGTGGTTGGGATCTGAATCAAGCTAATAATTACTAATATGAAGACCAAAATGGTAGTCATTTTAATCCAAACATGCACATATTCATTAATACACAGGATGAACAAAACAGAGAGCTCTGCAGAAATAGATTTGGTGGCAAACATAGACAAAAAGCAGCAAATTCTGTGGATTAAGAGGCCAAACCATGAGATGGAATGAAGTACCTTTCTCACAGTTTGTTTTGGATTCTGGTGATGATGTGTTAATGATGGTGGCAATCCTCAATTTGGTAGCTGGTCAATTGGACCTAGGATTTTGCTTGAGTTAAAGTTCTTCCTTTCAGATCGTTTTTAGTGATGTTTCTTTTCCACTCACAGAGGGGTAGAGAGAGAGACAGTGTTAGTCTTGACTTGCAGGCTTTCTAGAGGTCCTAGTGCAACAGTTCTGTGACAAATTGGAACCTAACTATCCAAAAGCCGTTGCTAGGCAGTTTTTAACCCAAAGACACCTGGTGTCAGTTTATATCTCAAATCCATCAAAGCCAGCTTCTCCACAAGTTATTTCAGAGAAATATGGACTTCACAAGCTTCAAAATCTCCCCTCCCCCTACCGCATCCCAAAACCAGCCCAGCTTGTCCCCGCCTCCCTAACCTGTCCTTCCTCCCACCTATCCCCTCCTCCCACCTCAAGCCCCACCCCCATCTCCTACCTACTAACCTCATCCTGCCCCCTTGACCTGTCCGTCCTCCCTGGACTGACCTATCTCCTCCCAACTCCTCACCTACACTCACCTTTACTGGCTCCATCCCCGCCTCTTCGACCTGTCTGTCTCCTCTCCACCTATCTGCTCCTTTATCCATCTTCTATCCGCCTCCCCCTCTCTCCCTATTTATTTCAGAACCCCCTTCCCCTCCCCCATTTCTGATGAAGGGTCTAGGCCCGAAACGTCAGCTTTCCTGCTCCTCTGATGCTGCTTGGCCTGCTGTGTTCATCCAGCTCTACACCTTGTTGACTCCACAAGTTATATGACCTGTCATTAGTCAGTGAACATGACAGTTCACTTTTCATTCAGGTTCTTCAAAAACAACAACTGGTTCATTCTCCGAAAGCAGTCGAATCTAAACTTCAATTTTTCCAGTTTAAATTCCAATAAAAATATGTAGTCCTTATACCAGGAGGAAGGTGAAGTCAGTGGCGAGGGTACAAAGTATGTTGCAGGGGACTTTGATCTTTGCACATGTTTAACTGGAGGATATGGTATCTCATTCAAGACTGAATATCAGACTGTCACTCTGACAATAAAAATAATTAACCATGGGTTCAAAGTGGCAGTGGAGAAATAAAGGCAAGAGTTAGCAGTAAAAATGCAGAAGCTGGCCGAGGAGCAGCATGTAGGTGAGGAACAGGAGAGAGTCATAGAATCACAGAATCCCTACAGTGTGGCAGCACGCTATTAGGTCCATCGAATCTCCAATGTTTCTCTGACAGCATCCCACCCAGACCCTCTCCATCCCTGCAACCCTGCACTTCCCATAGCTAATCCACCTAGCCTACACATCCCTGGGCGCTATGGGCAATTAGCTTGGCCAATCCCCCTAACATCTTTGGACTGTGGGATAAAACTGGAGCACCCGGAGGGAACCCACGGAGACACAGGGAGAATGTGCAAATTTCACACAGACAGTGGCCCGAGAGTGGAATTGAACTCGGATGTCTGCCGCTGAGGCAGCAGTGCTAACGAAGCTAGGTTCTTGGGCAGAAGGAAATAAAGATTTGAGGGTGAGAAACAAGGTTAAGAAGGATAATCCAATTGATCCGGGCAATGGAAAAGTGTTAGCAGTATTTAGCATGGTCAACTAACTCAGAGACTAGAGATATGTTGAGAAGCATGTGGAAGGCTAATACATTATGGTCATGGTCAAAGAGAATGTCCCCTGTGACGTTCACTTTCAAAGGCTGTCAGCTGAAAATTCAATTGGAGAGTTTCATTGATGGATTTGCGGGAAAAGTGAACATAATTTTCAGTGTTCAAGGATTTTAGAGGCAAAAAGAAGGTTGAAAATGGGATAATGATTTGTTAGGACTGAGGCATCAAAAGTGATTTATTTTGAGGAGGGAGTGATGGCAGTTTTGCAAATGGGAAGGGCAACATCTGAAGAGAGAGGAGAATTTACACTGTCAGGTAGGAAGAGGGCCAGGGAGGAAAGTTTGTTGATCTGGAATATGTTGGGAATGGGTGCAGACACTGGATCCCATGAAGAAAATTAACTGGAGGAGCACGAGGGGGAAGAGGAAACTAGAGAGAGATGTCAGTTCTGTGCCAGGGTGTTTGTGGAAGAGTGATTCAATAAGTTTGGGGGGTGGTGGGGAGGAGCAGAAGCAGCTAAATGAAAGGTTGCAATTCTCAAACATAAAATGTTTTCAGTGCAGAGGAAAGCAATCAACCTGGCATATCTGTGTCTGAAGAACAGCTCTGCTAGTCCCTTTCTTTGCCTCATATGTGTTCTCTTTTCAAGTGCTATTGTCCTTTGAAAGCACCAATTGCACATCTGCCTCCCCCACACTCTCAAGCAGTGCATTCTGGACCCTAACTACCTGTTGCGTAGAATGGAATTTTCTCATGTCACCACTGTTTATTGCTATGACTCAAAAATTCCATCAAAACTTCTTGTTTTTGATGTTGGAAGTGAGACCGTAGAAGAAATGGGTTTAAAGAGAGGGCCAACTGTGAAGGAGAGAAGGGGTCACTTTTGCATGGGTGGATTCTGGAGTTAGCGGGCAAGGAACGGCAGAGGAAGGTGAGACCTGACAGTGGCTGATGTGGTACAGCCACAATGAAGACTGATCCAGTGTGTTCCTCTGGTTCTCAAATCGGTGTCCCCGTGGACTGAAGGCAGTAAAGATACCTGGAATATTGACCAGGGTATCAAATAAAGAAAAACAGGTATCAAGGCACTGGAATACATGCAGTGTAATACAGGGATGAGAGGTGATAGTTATGAAGAGGAAGAAAAAAAGACTTAGCTTTCTATAGAAAGTTCCACAATCTTGAGGTGTCCCAAAGGTTTTTTTTTATACAACCCATTAAATATTTGTAGTCACGGTGGTAATACTGGAAATTACAGCTAATCTGCATACAGCAAGCTCCCACGAATAGCAATGTAACAATCACCAGATAATCTTGTTTCAGAGATAGTAGGAACTGCAGATGCTGGAGAATCTGAGATAACAAGGTGTAGAGCTGGATGAACACAGCAGGCCAAGC